CTCCCATTTGGAATTAAATCAGCACCAGAGATCTTCCACAGGGCAATGGAGTCCCTGATCGAAGGGCTGGAAGGCACCAGAGTCTACATAGATGACCTCGTAGTCTGGGGAAATACAAGGCAACAACATGATGAAAGGCTGGAGAAACTTTTGTGGAGAGTTAACAAGAATGGACTTAAACTGAATAGAGACAAGTGCCTCTTTGGTGTTTCAGAGATGACCTTCCTGGGAGATAAGGTTACAAGTGAAGGGGTGGAACCTGATCAGTCAAAGGTACAAGCCATATTGGATATGCCAGCACCCATTGACAAAAAAGGTGTCTTGCGAGCAATGGGGATGATCAACTTTCTGGGTAAGTTCATTCCTAATCTTACCTCCACGACAGCATGCCTAAGGGAGCTGCTACAGCACAACACAGTGTTCGAGTGGACGGCCCGGCATGAGAAAGAGTGGAAAAAATTGAAGGAAACTGTAACTACAGAGCCGGTCTTGACATTCTTTGATCCATCAAAGCCAACAAAAATTTCAACAGATGCCTCAAAAGATGGCTTGGGAGCAGTTCTGCTCCAAAGGAACAAAGACAAGTGGCAACCTGTAGCATATGCGTCCAGATCAATGACAGAAACTGAACAACGCTATGCTCAAATTGAAAAAGAGACTTTGGGCTTAGTGTTTGGTGTGGAAAATTTCACAGCTATGTATATGGATTACCAACCTTTACAGCAGAGACTGATCACAAACCTCTCATCTCGATCAGAAAAAAGAACCTCAACGACATGTCACCTAGAATTCAGCGCATGATGATGGTGTTGCAGCGCTATGATTTTGGGGTGGCTGTAGCTCAGGTCAGCAGGTCAGCCACTAATCAGAAGGTCGGTGGTTCGATCCCAGGCTGCCTCCTGGCTGCATGCCAAATATCCTTGGGCAAGATACTAACCCCACGTTTGCCTACTGGTGGTGGTCAGAGGGCCCGGTGGCGCCTGTGTCCGGCAGCCTCGCCTCTGTCAGTGCGCCCCAGGGCAGCTGTGGCTACAATGTAGCTGCCATCACCAGTGTGTGGATGGGTGAATGACTGAATGTAGTGTAAAGCGCTTTGGGGTCCTATGGACTAGAAAAGCGCTATACAAATGGAGGCCATTTACCATTTTGAGCTGATCTACACGCCTGGGAAATATATCGTACTCGCGGATGCATTATCCCGAGCGCCAGCACCAAGTGGTGACAGGTTAGTCAGCACTACAGCCGAGGAGGCTGAAACACATGTAAACATGGTAACTGCCTCACTCCCAGCATCAGATGTCATGTTGCAGCAAATTGTGCAGGAGACGACAAAAGATCCAGTGCTGCAGAAAGTATCCCACCTTATACAGAATGGGTGGTCAAAAGGAGTCTGTCCAGGGTTCTACTCTGTGCGAGCTGATTTATGCATGGCTAATGGGCTGGTGCTGAGACAAAACCAGATTGTCATCCCTCAATCCATGCAGAAAGACATGCTTCAGCGTATCCATGAAGGACATCTTGGAGTGGAGAAATGTAAAAGGAGAGCGAGAGAAGCAGTTTACTGGCCAGGCATCAACAGGGATATTGAGGAGATGATACAGAAATGTGAAACATGTCTCAAACATCACTACAAACAAACAAAAGAGCCAATGCTGGCAGCAGATCTACCCACTGCACCATGGCAAAAGGTAGGCACGGATTTATTTCATCTGGATGGCAAGGACTATGTTTTGGTGATTGACTACTATTCTAATTATCCAAAAGTGGCACAGCTTTCCAGTACATCAGCACAGTCAGTCATCACACACATGAAGGGCTTTTTTGCCAGACATGGAATTCCACAGTGTGTCATCAGTGACAATGGTCCACAATATGACTGTAGAGAATTTAGTGACTTTGCAAAACAATATGGATTTCAACATATCACCTCTAGTCCCTTATATCCCCAAGCGAATGGACAGGCAGAAAAAGGAGTCCAAATAGTAAAGAGATTGTTCAAAAAAGCAAGAGACAGTAAGACCGACCCTTACCTGGCTCTGCTAAGCTACAGAGCTTCATCCCTGGAGTGTGGGGCATCACCTGCTGAGCTACTCATGCATCGCAAGCTCCGCACCACACTTGCACACATTTCCAAGGAAAATGACAATGCACATGACAACAAGCTGACCGACAAAAGAATGAAACTCAAGCACAGACAGAAAGGGAACTATGACAAAACTGCAAGGCGTCTGGAACCTCTTCAGGAAAGAGATGTTGTGAGGATTGCAGGTCCAGATTTCTGGGACAAAAAAGCAACAGTTCTCAGCGAAGTAGGGCCCAGATCGTTTGCTGTTCAGACAGAGAATGGACAAGTGTTAAGAAGAAACCGGAGAAGTCTGTTAAAGACACAGGATGTTAAACATCAGGACACAGAGACTGGAACTGAACAACGAGGTGCTAACCCTGTTGAGCACCACAGTGAGCCTCCTTCACCTTCCCCAATGTCTGAGATACTGAGAAGGTCTACCAGACCTAAGGAACCTACAGAGAGGCTCATAGAACAAGTGTGAACTGTTGTGGTAAAGAATTGTTAAAAAATAATAATAATAAATCACAAGTAAATAACGGATAATAATTCATTTAGAATAGTAATTGTTCACACTTAATTGAGACCTGCTGAGTTATAATGTGTTATTGACTGTTCAAGTTGTCAAAGGTGAAGAGTTCTAATGTGCTTGAGGGCTGTATGGGATTCATTTGGTTCATTCTGGACGATGTAAGGTATACATTTGGATTTATTTTGTTTGACTTGTGCTACAACTTTTGGTTAAAAAAAAAACACTACTGAATGTAGTTTGTTGCACAATTTATAACATGTTGAATGTTAGACAAGAATGTTCAGATGTTACAGAGTAACATTACTCTTTGGAATTGTGCTTATTATAACACCAACCTGTTTGGAAAGGGGATGTAATGATAGTTGCTATTGTTGAAGCTACCCACAGGGGGCGCTCTGGAATCAATAAGATATACAGAACAGAAGAAGAAGCGATCGTTGTAGAAAGAATAATAAACAGACTGGGTGTTAGCTGAAGCTAGCACCAGGAGCAATTCTTGATGTTTTATTCATAGAGGAATAAGAACATTACAACCTTCATCTTCACTTCTGTGCTGTGATGAGCTCTGAAACCTGACTGAAACTAACGAGTCGTCTGCTTTACGCTACGTGTTTGAGAATTATACCACGGAGTCAGGTACTTCTGATTTAAGTCTATTTTTCACCAGAGCTACAGTATCCAGAGTCGTACGCAGTGACAGGGGGTAAAGTTATTAACAAGATGATGGACCTCTGTTGGAGCAATGTTCAGGTAGCTGCTCTGCTCTGTGTTGGCATTGAAGATGATAACAGTGGGTGCACACACAGGTCAAACTCTGCCCCCCGGTGGTGATCCTGTGAGTCACAGTGTGACGCCTCGTTTTAAATCAATCAATCAATCAATCTTTATTTATAAAGCACTTTTCATACAGAGAAAATGTAGCACAAAGTGCTTTACATAGTTAAAAGCAGCCCACCCCACCCTCCAACTCACTCCCCACACTCTCAATACACATATATCCCCCCACCCACACACACACACACACGCGCACACTTAAAGAGTAAAAATTGGGCTGGGCTCGCATGAGCCAAGTGAGGAAACATTATAACAGAGAGCCGTCTGCACCAGGAGCCGGTCACAGACCGCAGCCTCCAGGCTGGGCACACAGCAGGAGGGAGGCAAAGGAGACCCCCAACCAGGCTGAGAGGACCCCAGAGACCCAGCAGCCACGGTCAATAACAGCCCCGGTGCAGAGAGCGCCCTCCGAGGAAACACTGGAGATATGACGCAATACAATATATATAGGGTAAAATGATAAAATAAATAAGAACAGGATACAATATAAATATAAATAGAATAAGAAGATTAAAAAATGAATAAGAATAAAATCAAACAAATATTAGGTAAATCCTAAATTAATAATAGAATAACAGGATAGAATAAATAAGCATAAAATAAATAAACGCTAAGTAAAAGCTAAATTAAAAAGGTGGGTCTTGAGCCTGTTCTTGAAAACATGTACGTTCTCTGCGGCCCTGAGCTCCTCCGGCAGGCTGTTCCACAGACGAGGACCATACCGCTGAAACGCTGCCTCTCCGTGAGTATGTGTCCTGACTTTAGGGACAATCAAAAGGCCAGCACCAGAGGACCTCAGGGTCCGCGAGGGTTCGTATGGTAAAAGCAGATCTGAGAGATAAGAAGGCCCAAGACCATTAAGACATTTAAAAACCAATAAAAGAACTTTAAATGTCACTCGTTAAGTCAGCTCAGATTTATTCTCGTGTGAACTCAGTTTTCCTGTTTGGGTCGGAGAACGTGGGCCCAGCTCGTCGCCACAGATCACAACTCTGGTGCTCAACAGCGCCAAAGTAAACATTTTAATTATATTTCATTATCTCATCTCCGAGCGCGCTCAGTGATGAGATGCTGCTGTTTGTTTCTAAGGTAACGGCTTTTTAAAAATCACTGATCAGCGGAGAAACATGAGACATCGCACGGTGATAAAACAGACCTGCTGTTCCAGCTCAGAGGTCCGAGGGATCATCCAAAAATGGTATTTTCTGGAGATCTGATTGGTCAGTAGGCGGTGATGTCATACCTATTTATCTTTAATCTTGATCTTAAGTTACCATGGTGATTTATCTGTATAGAAACCAGGTTAAGCCTGAAGTTACCCAGGTTAATCTAAACCCAGCTTAGGCCTCTGCTATCAAACATGAGGCTCCCAGGCCTGGACTGGCCACTAGAGGGTCCAACTGGGTCCACAGGGAGAGCGTCAGTGATGAATAAATACAGGTGAATAATAACAAATCTGACGGTCTGCAGGTGATGTTAGGGGAGCTAAACTTTATTTACACCCAGACCTGAGCACAAAGGTCAAAGGTCAGCCTGTGAGTATCAGAATAAGAGGCGAGTCTCCAGGTGTTCAAAGAGTGTCTCGTTTATTGTGGTCACAGGTGAGAAGGCAGTGTTAAGGCTTCGAGGTCGTCTGAAAATCACCACAAACACATTTGCAGCATCACCTCCTACCTCACTTCCTGTTCCTGCTTTAAACAGACTGTACATAAATGATCAACTGAGCCACTCCTCCACCCGAGCAGATTTAAGGTCTTTATTAAAATAATCCAGAGCTCGGTCAGTCCGCAGCATCATACTTCCTGTTCGCTGTCATAATGTCGGGTTAAATAATAAAATGACATTTTTGTGAAAAACATTTTTATATTTTTGTGCCTGATTCACTGATTTAAAAAAATTATTAAACAGCATCTCGACCGTGTCTTTGCCACAACGCCGAGGTCAGAGGTCACATCGGCTCATCTCCTCATCCTCCTCCGCAATTGTGCAGACCACCTCAGCTTCTTTCGCCAACAGCTGCGTTTGGAGCAGATTTGGCTAAATGCGATCTGATTGGCTGATGCCTCAACGTCGCAAGCAATTGACTCAAAGTTGTCAATGTGTGACATCACGGCGTCTGAGCCCGGAAGCATCCATGTGATTCCCGCCGTTATCTGACAGCTTCTCTCTGCAGGACGCGGCTCAACAAACTTCACAGAAGTCGTTAAAAACACACAAACACAAAAATCAGTCTCCGAGTCTGGAGCTCTCACACCTGCACAGGTACGCAGCCTCAGCTTGTCCCACCCCTCTGACACGTTAACAGAGCCAAACATGCTGAGCGCGGCAGTGGCTCAGTGCAGGTCGCTGAAGGGCTTGGGGTACCCGAACATCAGGTAGTCCATGTAGTAGAAGTCGAAGACCTTCTGCCGCTCGGTGGCGTTGAGCTGTGAGAAGTACTTCTGCGTGATCCTGGAGGATGTCCTCTCCGCCAGTGGGTTCCTGTCCTTGAAGTCCGGGAACGTGAGGTTAGCCGGTGCCCCGATGCTTCGGAGCAGGAAGTTGGCGTCACGCTCCAGGCTCTCGAACTTCCCGATGAAGGTGAACTGCAGGAAGCATGGGCTGCACAGCTGGCTCACCGGCTCCCAGTGGATGTCCATCCCCACGGGCCGCCGCACATCCAGCAGGTACTGCACAAACTCCCTGAAGGTCACACCGGCGCCAGAGCGCAGTGCAGCATGTGTGGCGTTGGCTCGGTACCTGGAGATGATGGCCCGTCCAAACACGGGGTGGTAGTATGAGTTGGGGCTCTCAAACTTGTCCCGAAACGCTGACACGAGGCGCTCAAAAGGCTCCCGGACGAACAGCGCTTTGGTGTAGGAGCGAAGCCGCTCGGTAACGCCAGCACGACTGTAGCCGCTGAGCCGCGGGAGGCGGTTTTCGTAATGCGCCGCGTCGTGGGGAATGTCCCGTGTGGACGCGGCGCTGCCGCTCAGCACCATCAGCACCCGCTTCCAGTTGGAGCAGCCAGCTTTGGGCACCTCGCAGTACAGCAGCCGGGACCACTCCTCCACGTACACCCGCGACACCTGCCGCTGCGACGGCGGCCGCCTATCCACTCCCGGCTGGTATTGGGCACAGATATCTGTTAGCAGGCGGTGCCGTGACTCCTGCATCCTCGGCAGCTGCAGCGCCACCTCTACTTGGCCCGTGGGGGAGCTGGACGCCGCCACGCTGCTCTTCAGCAGCAACTTCCTGCGGCGTTTAGTGAGCGGCTGCTTTGAGCCGAGCGGTGAGTCAGAGAATAGCGAGGAGGACAGTGGCTGGGGACGGAGAGCGGGCGGAGAGACAGGACGACGTCCTGCCGCATCGTCGGCTTCCTTTAACACACACACATACAGGAAACAGAGGGCATGTCATCAGTGGGCGTTTCCCATCACGCAGGGCGTTGTCTGTATGTTTAACCTCCACGCTCACCATTTCCTGCATGTAAAGAGTCCATGATCAGCCGCTTTGTTTTTGACCAAGCGGCTCCGATTCACATAAAACGTTCTGATCCATTAATCAGGTTTCTACTCTGCAGGTGCTACTCTGCAGGGTTCTACTGTGCATGGTTCTACTCTGCAAGGTTCTACTCTGCAGGTTCTACTCTGCATGTTTCTACTCTGCAGGGTTCTACGCTGCAGGTTCTACTCTGCACGTTTCTAATCTGCAGGGTTCTACTGTGCATGTTTCTACTCTGCAGGGTTCTACTCTGCAGGGTTCTACTCTACATGTTTCTAATCTGCATTTTTCTATTCTGCAGGTTCTACTGTGCAAGGTTCTACTCTGCAGGGTTCTACTCTACAGGGTTCTACTGTGCATGTTTCTACTCTGCAAGGTTCTACTCTACAGGGTTCTACTTTGCATGTTTCTACTCTGCACTTTTCTACTCTGCAGGGTTCTACTCGGCAGGGTTCTACTCTGCATGTTTCGACTCTGCAGGGTTCTACTGTGCATGTTTCTACTCTGCAAGGTTCTACTTTGCAAGGTTCTACTCTACAGGGTTCTACTGTGCATGTTTCTACTCTGCAAGGTTCTACTCTACAGGGTTCTACTGTGCATGTTTCTACTCTACAGGGTTCTACTCTACAGGGTTCTACTGTGCATGTTTCTACTCTACAGGTTTCTACTCTACAGGGTTCTACTGTGCATGTTTCTACTCTACAGGGTTCTACTCTACAGGGTTCTACTGTGCATGTTTCTACTCTGCAGGGTTCTACTCTACAGGGTTCTACTCTACAGGGTTCTACTGTGCATGTTTCTACTCTACAGGGTTCTACTGTGCATGTTTCTACTCTACAGGGTTCTACTCTGCAAGGTTCTACTGTGCATGTTTCTACTCTACAGGGTTCTACTCTACAGGGTTCTACTGTGCATGTTTCTACTCTACAGGGTTCTACTCTGCAGGGTTCTACTGTGCATGTTTCTACTCTACAGTGTTCTACTGTGCATGTTTCTACTCTACAGTGTTCTACTCTACAGGGTTCTACTGTGCATGTTTCTACTGTGCATGTTTCTGCTCTACAGGGTTCTACTGTGCATTTTTCTACTCTACAGGGTTCTGCTCTACAGGGTTCTACTGTGCATGTTTCTACTCTACAGGGTTCTACTCTGCAGGGTTCTACTCTCTGAACCTGAAAATCTGAATTCCATCTGATGCTGTGAGTGTCCTGATCAATCATGCAAGTCAGGACGTCTGCAGTCTCAGCTGCAGGTGTCCAACCTAAACGTGTGTGTGTGTGTGTGTGTGTGTGTGTGTGTGTGTGTGTGTGTGTGTGTGTGGTGTCCAAACACTGAGGATGAGGATGATGATGATGAAATGTTTCTGAAAACCTCGCATTTGAACAGAATCATCTTTCTGAGATTCTGGGTGTTGTCAGACACTGCAGGACTAAATGTGAACATATTACATTTGAATTAAATTTTTAAATACATCCCGGTCTGAAACCTACAGAGCTGAACTCAGATCAGAATCTTCTGACGTTTCTTCATGTTAAAAATATTATTTTACATTGTTATGAAATCCACCTACATCCAACTACAAACTTCAGTGTGAAGGTTTTTATTAGTGCAGCTCAAATATGGGACGATGCAGACCTGCTTTTGCTGCATATTTTAATCAGGCAACACTCATGTTTCATGCATGTGTCTACAGACCCTGATTCAGCTCGAGGGCACAGCTTTAGTCTGATATTCATGTTTAAATATTACCCGAGTTTTAGTGAAAGACCGTGGCCATGTTTCAAAAACACATGTTTCTGATACATGAAGCTAAAACTTGACAACAACCATTATAAACCTTCAAACTTTGGACCCCGAAACTTTTATGTAAATTAGAAACGGTGGAGCAGAAGGTCCTTGATGATCTGAGACTCACAAGAACCGATCAGGAACTTTCTGTTGCACTAAAATATATGAATGTCTAACCACAGGAGCTGTCGTGCTGGCTGTGGACACTGGATGGCGCTCTAATCTTTGTTCTGCTCCATGTGTTTACTCTGTTTGGAAAATGTGATGCTGTGTGAGTCCAGCAGGTGTCGCCGTGCTGCTGTTACCTTCTGTGAAGGCCGCCTGGGAGCCACCAGCACCTGCACACCTGAGAAGGAGGGGGGAGAGAGCACGGTCAGGAGCAGAAGTATGTGGACACGTTCACTTTATGTTGGGTAGGATGATTTAATGAAGCTGAAAACAAACTGCAACACACGTGAGTGTGAGAGAGAGTGAGTGAGAGGGTGAGGGAGAGAGAGTGAGAGGGTGAATGAGAGAGAGAGGGAGAGAGAGAGAGTGTGTGAGTGAGAGGGTGAGGGAGAGAGAGAGGGTGAGAGAGAGAGTGAGAGGGTGAGAGAGAGAGTGAGAGGGTGAGTGAGAGAGAGAGGGTGAGTGAGAGAGGGAAAGAGAGAGAGGGAGAGAGAGAGAGGGTGAGAGAGAGAGTGAGAGGGTGAGAGAGAGAGTGAGAGGGTGAGTGAGAGAGAGAGGGTGAGTGAGAGAGACTGTGTGTCCTAGTGTGTGTGTGTGTTCTAGTGTGTGTGTGTTCTAGTGTGTGTGTGTGTGTGTGTGTGTGTGTGTGTGTGTGTTCTAGTGTGTGTGTGTGTGTTCTAGTGTGTGTGTGTGTGTGTGTGTTTTGTGTGTGTGTTCTAGTGTGTGTTTTTTTTTTTGTTTTTTGTGTGTGTGTGTGTGTGTGTGTTCTAGTGTGTGTGTGTGTGTGTGTGTGTTCTAGTGTGTGTGTGTGTGTGTGTGTGTTCTAGTGTGTGTGTGTTCTAGTGTGTGTGTGTGTGTGTGTGTGTGTGTGTGTTCTAGTGTGTGTGTGTGTTCTAGTGTGTGTTGTGTGTGTGTGTTCTAGTGTGTGTTCTAGTGTGTGTGTGTGTGTGTGTTGTGTGTGTTCTAGTGTGTGTTGTGTGTTGTGTGTGTGTTCTAGTGTGTGTTGTGTGTGTGTGTTGTGTGTGTGTTCTAGTGTGTGTGTGTGTGTGTGTGTGTGTGTGTGTGTGTTCTAGTGTGTGTGTGTTCTAGTGTGTGTGTGTGTGTGTGTGTGTGTGTTCTAGTGTGTGTGTGTGTGTGTGTGTGTTGTGTGTGTGTGTGTGTGTTCTAGTGTGTGTTCTAGTGTGTGTGTGTGTGTGTGTGTGTTCTAGTGTGTGTTCTAGTGTGTGTGTGTGTGTGTTCTACTGTGTGTTCTAGTGTGTGTGTGTGTGTGTGTTCTAGTGTGTGTGCTAGTGTGTGTGTGTGTGTGTGTGTTCTAGTGTGTGTTCTAGTGTGTGTGTGTGTGTGTTCTAGTGTGTGTTCTAGTGTGTGTGTGTGTGTTCTAGTGTGTGTGTGTGTGTGTGTTCTAGTGTGTGTTCTAGTGTGTGTGTGTGTGTGTGTGTTCTAGTGTGTGTTTGTGTGTGTTCTAGTGTGTGTTCTAGTGTGTGTGTGTGTGTGTGTGTTCTAGTGTGTGTTGTGTGTGTTCTAGTGTGTGTGTGTGTGTGTGTGTGTGTGTTCTAGTGTGTTTGTGTGTGTGTGTGTTCTAGTGTGTGTGTGTGTGTTCTAGTGTGTGTTCTAGTGTGTGTGTGTGTGTTCTAGTGTGTGTGTGTGTTGTGTGTGTGTGTGTGTGTGTGTGTTCTAGTGTGTGTGTGTGTGTGTGTGTGTGTGTTCTAGTGTGTGTGTGTTCTAGTGTGTGTTCTAGTGTGTGTGTGTGTGTTCTAGTGTGTGTGTGTTCTAGTGTGTGTGTGTGTGTGTGTGTGTTCTAGTGTGTGTGTTCTAGTGTGTGTGTGTGTGTGTTCTAGTGTGTGTGTGTGTTCTAGTGTGTGTGTGTGTGTGTGTGTGTGTGTTCTAGTGTGTGTGTGTGTGTGTTCTAGTGTGTGTGTGTGTGTGTGTGTGTGTGTGTTGTGTGTGTGTTCTAGTGTGTGTGTGTGTGTGTTCTAGTGTGTGTGTGTGTTCTAGTGTGTGTGTTCTAGTGTGTGTGTGTGTGTGTGTGTGTGTGTGTTCTAGTGTGTGTGTGTGTTCTAGTGTGTGTGTTCTAGTGTGTGTGTGTGTGTGTTCTAGTGTGTGTGTGTGTGTGTTGTGTGTGTGTTCTAGTGTGTGTGTGTGTGTGTGTGTGTGTGTGTGTGTGTTCTAGTGTGTGTGTGTGTGTGTGTGTTCTAGTGTGTGTGTTCTAGTGTGTGTGTGTGTGTGTGTGTGTGTTCTAGTGTGTGTGTGTGTGTGTGTTTGTGTGTGTGTTCTAGTGTGTGTGTGTGTGTGTGTGTGTGTGTGTGTGTGTGTTCTAGTGTGTGTGTGTGTTCTAGTGTGTGTGTTCTAGTGTGTGTGTGTGTGTTCTAGTGTGTGTGTGTGTGTGTTCTAGTGTGTGTGTGTGTGTTCTAGTGTGTGTGTGTGTGTGTGTGTTCTAGTGTGTGTGTGTGTTCTAGTGTGTGTGTGTGTGTGTGTTCTAGTGTGTGTGTGTGTGTGTGTTTGTGTGTGTGTGTGTGTGTTCTAGTGTGTGTGTGTTCTAGTGTGTGTGTGTTCTAGTGTGTGTTCTAGTGTGTGTGTGTGTGTGTTCTAGTGTGTGTGTGTGTGTGTGTGTTCTAGTGTGTGTGTTCTAGTGTGTGTGTGTGTGTGTGTGTGTGTGTGTGTGTCCAGTTCGGGTGCAGCAGCTCCTCGGGCTCATTCCTCACACTTCGCTGCGAGCTGATGCTGCCTTCGTGCTGCGAGAGCTGTGAAGATGATGAAGATGATGTGACTCGTTTGTGGTGACCTTCGTCATGCTGTGGATGGATGAGCTGCTGACCAGCTACTGTGCTGCTGGTAACAGCCGGCGCTCTCAGTTTAAATCATCGGTCTAATCGAGTTTATTCAGCGCAGCTCTCCAAGACGCTCGCTCCCCACACGACCACCGAGTCACATCATTTCACACGAATAACAACTGGCCCCGCCCACAACAGCCACTGCTTCGTGTAGTTTCTGCATGTGTGTGAGGTTACATGCTGGAAACGCGGTGAGATCACTGGAACACAAAAACACAACGTGTGACCTTTGAACACAGGAGGGCATCCTTCCTGTGGCCTGTTGGTGTGTATTCATAGCAGGCACACACACACACTCCTCATCTTCACACACATATGCATGTGTGTATCACCATGTCAAACATTTGTGTGACCCTGAAACCCAATCAGAGCCCTCTAACAGTCATGTGACGACCTGACTGAACCTCAGGACTCTACGTCCTCACAGAGCTGAACGTCTGATCAAACTTTAAACCTGAACTGGCTGACCTCACTCCAACTTGCTGTTGTTTTATTGGTTTGTGTCCACGCAACATTACTAACACACAAACACACACGCATGCAGCTGGCAGGCCCAGGTGGCCTCTCAGCAGTTTCCTGACACTGAAGGTTAGCGGCGGTGGCATCCCGCTGCAGCTCCTGGTTATTTATTACCCAGAGCGCATCTCACTGTCCCACACACAGAAAACATGTGACTAATCCAGGCTTTTGTGTCAGCACGCACACACACACACACACACACACACACACACACACACACACACACACACACACACACACACACACACACACACCTATCAGCTCGCTGAGCTCAGCTGGATGCTTGAGCTGTAGAGAGCGCCCTCTGGTGGCAACACATGATGACACCAGTTTAACAGAAAGAATCTTTTTGAGCTCAGATGAGGTCTTGGATCGCCCCCTGCTGGCCATTAGAAACAATGCAGATTTAGGGCTTCGCGTTTGAGACGCTGAAGCTATGCCGTGTTTTATTGTCTTGGTGTGACTGACCAGTGTTGAGAGAGGTTAAAGGCAGCTAACAGAGCACACCTGCCTGTTCTGATGATGGCGTCCGTCAGGAAGACACTTACAATCGGTAGAGTGCTGCTGAGGCGGAGCTCACGCCAAAGAAATCTGGATCTGCATTTATGTTTACTTCGATAAATAAAGGAGGCGGGACTCTGGACACGTACATGGTGCAGGAACATGAAGCGTGTGTTAGCTGTCAGGCAAACATTAACAAGTGACAAGCTCTATTTCTCTGAAACCCCGCCTCCAAACGCTCCCTGAAGGTGACTGAGACTCAGCAGCAGATTTGATGGCATCATGTGACTCTGCTGCACGGTGTCTCATCATCCACGCTCAGCCTTCAAACCTCTGCAATCTCAACGTAGAGAGCACGGCGCCACTGAGGGGCTTACCATCATCACCTGGCAAAGCCCGCCCATCTTTATAGCCTTAATCCTTCTCCTGAACATTAATCCTGAGGACGCCTGCCAGAGCTCGTTAAGATCCGCGTCCTACGCCACACCGAGCTACACTATCTCGCCAACGAGCACTTCCGTGAAAGAGGTGCTCACACAGAAGCCGCCTGACTGAGATCACAGCATGGAGAAGTGTTCTGAGCTCAGGCGGAGGTCCCGTGTGGGTGGGGCCTCTGAGGCGAGATAGAAGACTGCCAAGCTGACCTCCTCGCTCCTCATCAGAGATCTCAATAGAAGCACTGCACGATGACATCATTGCATCTCACCAATTACATTCATACTTTTATTCCTCAGAAAATAAAACACAGTAAAGGTCGTCACAGCTGACGAGTCAGCCTCACTGAGCAAAGCAGCAGCATCGCTGCAGCGAGCACGTCAGCATCGCTCAGTTCCTCCCTCCAGAGCAACGTCGGGCGAGCGTGAGGTTTAGGTTTGTTCTGATCCACTGAGGAATGCCGCGATGTTTGAAGGCGGGGTCAACAAAGACGCCTCCGTCTTCACTTCTTGTGTAAAAGCAGTAAAAAATGACGAGAACACCCCTGAGCTCGGTGCGGTCTGGTTTGTGTCCGGCTGTCAAACAGCATGTGTGACCGATGATGTCATCGGTACAGCATCTCGTGGTTAACGCGATCTTCCTGATGTTTAGTGGAAGCTGGTGAGAGGCTCCTCCTCCTGCTTGTGGCGGTAACGCAACGTAGTCACGCTAATCATTGAACACTGCCCAGCCTCCTCGCTGTGACACGATTCCTGCAGCGAGGAGTGCCAAAACTCAAACTGAGATGACGTGAGCTGTTGCCTGCACTCACTGGTTTCCAGTAAAGCCTTAGTACTGGACTCTGCTGCTCTCTGGAAGGCGTAGCTGAGCCAGTGTCGTCTGTTCTTGGCGC